AATGGCTACACCGTGCGCTTAGTCCGCGACCTATACGATACGTGTCTTTGTTTAATATACAAGATAAATAAGGACATCTATTATATATAGATTTATTTATCCGCGGCCTAAATGCACGGTGTAAACATAGCTATCAGACAATTGATATTCCTCAAGATGACTGATAATAATGTATATAACCGTTCAAATTTATTTGACATATAATTATTGATGTATCTGACATTTTAAATAAATATGCATCACTGAAGAAGACCATATTAAAGAGTAGAATGTTTAAAAAAATCATAATACTGATTTCAGTTATTACCAGAAAAAACATCCAGCGTTTAATTGGCTTGATTAGCTTTCTATATTGTAGTATTTTGTATAAAATTATTTTTATGTATTGTTGAAATAAAAATAATTTTGTTTCAATCCTATGTCACGAATTATAATTTCATGACACAAGAAATTTTTTTTTAATTGAAAAATAAGACTTTCAATTTTGTATTATGAGTAAACCTGGGGTGCGTTCCAAAATTCACTCCGAGTAACAGAGTTTAACTCTACGCCGTTCTAAAACGCGAGGTAACTGACCACATGAGCGGAGCCTATTCGTTCCAAAAGTATGAGTAAATCTACCTCGGAGTCAACTCTATGAACCCTGCTTCTGAGGTGGGTTGAAAGAGTAAGTGCGGCAAACGAAATTTGAATATTGAGATGATGCAACATACGAAGCGAGACGCACACGTCCGTCCCGTTCGAGCGGTCTCTAAAGTAACGACTTCATTTCCCTAAAATGGCTCTAAAATTAATCAAAGATGTGCATATGTTAATAATCAATATATGATAATGGAACACCGTTACAAGAAAATAATTCATTGTGGGTGATGGACACGAGAGATAAGTAGAAAATGTGATTCGAAAGCTTGTATCAAGGTTAGATGTATGCATGTACATACATATATAGTTTATCTGAGTTTATCTCTTTCTAAATAAAATATTAAATATAATATTATATGTATATATAATATTACCTTATCTTTTCACGTTCCAAATTAATTATGTCGTTTCAATCCCGTATCATGAATAAAAATGGATTGCGCGGCTTATTTTTGTCCGCGAAATTTGTTTTCGATTGAAAAAAATAAAAATTCCATAGTTTCAGTCCCTTGTCGTGAAAGGATATAAAAAAAATTGATTTGGATTTGTAAGTAACCATACGAAATTATATCTATCTATTTCAATCTCTTTCCGGATACTGGGTTATTGATTAAAGATTACTATAATTATTAATGCTTGCATTATTTATTTTCATCTGATGTCTATACCTTGTAAAAAGTCACTTAAGGCTTGTACATATCTTTTTGGTCGAGCGTTCGTATTAGAATTATCTACCCAAATAATAGGAGATTTCGTGGGTAGCAAAATATTCGGTTTGAAGGCAATTCCTGTTTAAACAAAATATTACAATATCAAGGATATCCTCTCAATAATTGAAAATGAATTAAAATGGATTGAAACTTTTATGTGTATTTTAAGTTCATTGAAATATCAATTAGACAGAAAAACTGCATTTCCTATTCAGAAGTTTGAATTTGGAATAATATTCACAGAAAAAGCTGATATTATTTTTAGATTGAAAGGTATAGAAATGTGCTTTATGCAATTTCTATAAAGTATAAATGAATAAAAATGCATTTGGATTGAAAAAGGTTTATTTTAACATTTACAAATGCATATTTTTGAAAATCTAAATCAATTTCAATCCATTCTAATTTAATGGGCATCAACTGAAACAGCGTATTATTTTATTATTTTTTAAAAAAATTATACCTGGATTATCAAAATGTAGATGACGAAAAAGCAGAAAGTTGTCATCAAAATAAGATCTAGGCATCAAACCGCTATAAAGAAAAAACGGTCTTTCTAATTTCGAAGCATAGTCGATACTGATCCACATTTGCAATGCGAACAAGGAACCCAATACGGTAAAGAAACACAAGTAAAAGACTCCCAGCAAGGCTATTCACGTAAATAATCATATCATATAATTCCACAACGATTAGCAATTGAAAAAAAATGTATCTTTTAATAATTACCCCACTCTTTTCCACTTCTGCCAAGCAACTGTCTTCTATCTGGACTCCAAACAAATCGTAAAAAATTTCGAAATGCGCCTAAGTCAGGCTCGGGTATTCTATTTTGATAATATTCATCGTCATGAAGAATAACCATTTTAAGGATTGCTTATCGTTCATTTATGAGATTAATGAAAAAATAATTGAATGTATCATGAAATGTACATGAAGTGAGCAATAAACAATTTTAATATTGGCTGCGTTCAGCAGAGAAAGCAGCTTTGGAATTGTTGTAAAATTCTTCAATACGATTGGTTCTTACATTTGGTTCCTTATAGATCTAAATGTATAAATCAATTATATTGAAGATTTTTACAACGGTTGCGAAGCTGTTTTCTCTGCTGAACGCAACCATTGCTCTCATGGTGGAATCAGATTCTGATTTCACTATGATTGCTCTATTCACTATTGATAGAATTAAGTAAAATTTTATGTAGATTGACAATAGATCTGTTTTTTATTCCTGCACTTGCTTAACTAGCGCACAAGGTATAATATGTTGAAGTGGAACAAATATATATTTGTTATACAGTATGCACCAGTTCAGAGAGTGCAGGAATAAAAAACAGACCTAATTACAATGTATTTTGAAATAGTTCAATAACACAAGAAAAAAATAAAAGTATAATCAAAATAATCGCAATAAAAAATTCAGTTTTCCAGAAAAATTTATTTGAAAGTTCATATATTTATTTCATTAAATTTTACAAAAATTGCCTAACCATAACTACCAATAGCCATTAATATACATTTTATATTATATACAATATTATTTTTTTATTTCTTATAAGTTTTATCAAGCTTAAGAATAGACGATTCATTTATGGAAGAATCTTAAGTATACAATTATACCAAGAATAACTAATTCCAGTAAAATTATCAAGATTAGCACAATTTTGTTTGTCAAAACCTTTAGTCGCATAACATTCAGAATTTTTCTCGTTTTATTCAATTCCTCATCTGTCTGTGACAATCTCCGTTTTGCTCGCAAAAGACGATCTCTTTGTTCGCCTAATTCAGAGACCACTTCTGTACCAATTTGCTCATTCTCTGCTGCGACAACTTGCGATCTTGCGACCGACTGTGCCGAACGTTCCAATACTGCATTTCCATCCAGCAAAATACGTCGATGTTCAGCATCCCAATCCACTCCAAAATTCATCTTCTTTATATCATTCAATTTGGCAATGAAGAATAAAGAATGAATATGATCAAACGTTATTTCTATACTTTACATATTCTCCCTTGTTGCATCCGAAATATCAAAACTATTACAATGGCAAATGTAACAGTAAATATAATAAAACATTTCCATAATAAATATGTTAAATATAAAAAAATTACCTGTTCTTAGAAATGACGATTCTTATTTCATTTTAATAAACTATCTGTTTTTTTATCATTTATTTATTACATTCCCAACACCCCTACTACATAATCCATTTGCCACTATTCGCATCAACTCGCACAACAGTGACAAGAAACAACAATTGACGACAATCACGGACATCACTGTTACCAACATAAAATCTCAGGGTATATCCACATGCTGGATTCACACTGCATCCGATTTTCGTCGTACGAAATCTGCAACCAATCAGAAAACAGGATTCCGATGAATTTTACTTCGTATTAAGGCCATCATGCGGGGTCTACAACAGAAGTCGTAGGGTCTTAAGTCGTAGAAAATTGACTAATCACAGTCGAATATGAGAAAAATAATCAACTGTGATTGGTCAATTTTCTATGACTTAAGATCCTACGATCGCTA